TGCTGCTACCGCGGCCGCCGCTCCCCCGTAATGGCGACGAAGCGCCGACAGCAGCGCCGAGGCCCCGGATGCAGCTTTATAAAAGGGCCCCGCCCGCCTGGCCCGCCGGGAGCTGTAGTCCGGCCCGGCCCTCCGGCTCCTTCCCCGCCGCGCGGGGCCCTTCGCAAGGGCCAAGCGGAGTTTAGAAATCCCGCAGTGCCGCTGGGGCTCCCCCAGACAGCGCCACGGACCGAGGGAGGGTAAGGCCGGCGCTCAACCCCCGCATGACAGGCCAAGGGACTATTGACATCCGGGGTAAGCACCGTGAGGATGAGGTCGGCTCCTTAGTCCCGGTTCCCGAGTCAAAGCTGAAGGTCCTGAGCATGCTGAAGAGTTAAAATCTCACAAATGTAACATAACATCACGTTTCAAGTACATTGCCCTGAATAAGGAGCCTGAATTTAACTGGGATTACCCGATAAAATCTGTTTCAGCTGAGCGCCACTACCAACGGGCCACTCTCCCAAAGCACCCTGGGCAGAGCACCGCCCCACCCAAGGTGCATTTTTCCCAGGGAAGCCTGCCAACTCTCAGCCCCCCAGGCCTGTGCACTAATTACACTGCCAAGAGTCGAGCTGGTTTCAGGCTAGGATTGTAGCAGAAAGCCCCCTTTTCCTCTTGCCTGCATTTGTTCTCCCCTCTTTGGATATGTTTCTTTTTCTACCTTTTCTTCCTTCCTCTCTCTTTCACTTTAAGATAAGGAATTGTGTTTTAAAATTTGTATGTGTGCATTTTGTATCTCCCCTTGTAGTTTGGTATTTTTATCTATTTGTGTGCCATGGCATTGGTAGCTTATATTTTATACTCCTCACCTTTCATCTTTCAACTGAATGTATTTAGTTTCATAAGTAAGTTATACATTGTAACAATGTTAACAAGGGCAGGAATCAAACTGTCCTTCCCTGTATCAGGCTGGCCCCTGAAAGAGCAAGTGAATCAGTGATTGAATGTGTAACATGGTAGCAGACAGCAATTAGCACCTGGGAAGCTGCAAGAACTCAATAGAAGACAATGTAACAACCAGGAAATCTCTAAATGTCATTGATCAAGGGCTAGAAGCCCTGGCCTGAGTTAATCAACGCTGGGGACCAACTTTTGGACTGAATATCTCCAGATCGACCACTCCCAGAGCCCTATTCAAAATTAATCAACGGACTTGCAAACCTGCACGTACATGCAGACAACCCCTGGGGCTGACAGATGCCATCCAGTAGCCACCGAGGGGGGGGAAGTCCCACGAGGGTCAATGACCCCTGGATTGGGCAAACCTGAAAACTGGGGAGTCACCAAAGTCTGCCAAGGACAGATAAAAGGCAGTGAAAAGTAACCCTCAGTGGCGTCCTCTTGATCTCCAACTTGACCAGACCTGTCCAGCCAGAAGGACCAGCCGGCAACCCCCTTCTGGAGGATAACACCACGCTGAAAGAAGCCTCGACTGGCCATCGACGGCAGACTCCAGCGCTTGTAGGATAGGTATACCTGACTCTGTAGCTTGCTACTGTGTGTGTGTGTGCATATGTGTGTGTGTGGGGACCAGCCCCAAGGTTTATGATTTAACTCATTACAGTGTTTCAGTCTGCCTAATAAACTAGAATTTTAAGGATCCTGAGTTCAACATTTGTAGCCAACGGGATCATCATCAGGCAAAATACTTTTTGGGTCACCCCAAACCACACACCCCTGCCACTCGGAGACTACTGAAGAAGCCTTGGGCAGGCCCCTGCCTAACCCAAAGCTCAGTAAGAACCAACTTCATCCTCATTATCCATGTGCTTATAAGCTTTGTGCTTACAAAGTTTCCCCTTGCCCTAAACAGAACCAGTCTCCCAAGCCCTTGCAGTTTCTCAAGTCCATGCAGAGCCTGTTTCATAACTAGAAGAGGCAAGTTGTGTGTCAGAATATGAGATGGTGGCATCTTCCTTACAACATATATGTATATGAAAATGTATGTAAGTCATTCTGTGCAAACAGCTTGGTAAGCAGAGAAAGCCAGAAAGTGTAGCTGAAGCCCACAAGATTCAATGCACACTGTGCCCTTCACACACCTCAAGTACATAGAAAGTACCATATTGGATCAAACCTGCAGCCCATTGAACCCATCAGTTCACTTCCAACACTTGCTACCAACCAGTGCTTTGGAGGAAGGCATCATAAACTAACCAGTAAGGTAGACTTAGGATAATCTGTCTATTTTGGGGATCTTCCTGATGTTCAATTGATAGAGATGGACTTAACTTCTGAAATACATTTTATGTCAGCTTTCATTTTTGCTAATACTTCCTATTACAACTTTAGCTATTCCTCTTCTCTAAATAAACACCTAATTCTTCTTTCAGTCTTGGCTTTGACCACATCCTATTAGGATAAGTTCCACAATGTATTCATGAACTTAATAAAAAAATGCATCACATTCGATCAATTATGAATGGGTTATCTTTCAGTTTCATTGAACATTTCCTTCATTTCCTATTGTCAGACTACAATAATTTCTCAAGCCACCTGCTCTGTTATCATTCATTACTTTGCAGGATCTTATGTGCCTCTTATTTGTGTTATCTTAAACTATCCTAAGCTTTTCGAATGATCTCCATAACAGTACTTCCAGGCACCTTATCATCATTCTCATGGCTTAACTCTGAACTCCCTCTAATTCTGCAATACCCATTTTAAGTAGCTACTGAACATTATATTTTATTACAGCCAATAAGCAGATTGGGCTAGAATAGAGCAATAAAACATTCATGCATCCAAAAATGATATGATGCAGGGGTTACAGTAGACAATAAGCAGAACACGAGCAAACAGTATGTACTTGCTGCCAAGAAGGCTAATGGCATACTGGGCTGTATTAGTAGGAGCATTGGCAGCAGATGGAGGAAAGTGATTCTTCCCCTCTATTTGGCACTGGTGAGGCCACATCTGGAGGACTGTGTCCAGCTTTGGGCCCCCCACCACAAAATTGGAGAGTCTACCGAACAGCAACAAAAAGGTTAGAGGTCTAGGGAACAGGATTCATAAGGAAAGGCTGAGTGAACTGGGCTTATATAGTCTGGAGAAGAGAAGACTGAGGGAGATTTAATAACAGTCTTCAACTACCTTAAGGGAGGTTTGAAAGAGGATGGATCTAAACTGTTCCCAGTGATGGCAGATGACAGAACAAGGAGCAATGGCCTCAAGTTGCAGCAAGGGAAGTTTAGGTTGGATATTAGGAAAAACGTTGTCATGAGGAGGGTAGTAAAACACTAGAACAGGTTACCCACAGGGGTGGTGGAACCTCCATCCTTGGGGGTTTTAAGACCCAGCTAGAAGAAGCCTTGGCTGGGATGATCTAGCTGGGGATGGTCCTGCTTTGAGCCCAGGGGGTTGGACAAGACCACCCGAGGTCTCGTCCAACCCTAATTTTCTATGATTCTATTTTCAAAGCAAACAGGACAACGAGGTGTGTTTAGCTCCGGCTTGAGGTGATGCCCACACCTGTTTTTTCAGCCAGTCGTGGCTAAGCAGGGTTAAGTCACTGGCCAGTCCACGACACCGTTTCACTCAACCGCGACATATGCAAACGCCCTCTGGAGGAAGCCAATGGCACTAGTGAGCTGACACCAGCACGGCTCAGAGGCCGGCTGTACGCGCTGCCCTACCTGCACGCGAGGGCCGGCTCGCTCCAGCCTGCTCCGCGGAAGCCGATGAAGCCACACAGTGGGACCAGGCTCAGGCGCACCCCCCCGCGGGGAGCCCGTGGGCGGGGGCGATGGGCCCCGCGTCGCCCCGGACTGCAGAGCAACAGGACGCTCAAACCACACTTCACCTTCCCGCTGCCGGGTAGGGCTTCCGATTGGCTAAGTCGTTTCAATCACGTGACGCGAGAGCGGCTCTGCGTGTCGAGGCGGAGGTCAAGGGGCAAAGGTCACGTCACTGCCCAAGATGGCGGCTTCCATCGGAGCGGCGTCCTGCCGCGCCCTGTTCTGCCGCAGTTGGGGGAAGAGGCTGAGTGCGGCCTGGGGGCTCCTTGGTGGGGCGCGGGGTCTGGCCGCCCAGGGGGAGACGCACTTAGGGTTTCAGACCGTGCCTGAGGCGGAGAAAGAACAGAGAGGTGACACGGCGAGGGTGACTAGCTGGGGTCGGGGCTGGATGGTGCGGGACTGCGGCTTCAGTGCTGTGCGGGACACAGGCAGCCCAGCACTGTGATCGGCCGGAACAGGACCGCGGGATCTGGGTCGTTTCCAACCTTGTCCGCAAGCTGCTGTGACTCTGGGCCCACTTCTTGCGTTGGCTCTGTGTTGCCTTTTTCTTCTGTTTCTTTTTATGCGGAGAGCTCACTGGGGGTGGGGGGAGGTGTTGCACAATTCAGTTAACCTGTAGGAGGTGCTGGAGTATAAATAATAGCAGTTAATGTTTATTAAACATTGATATACAGTTAAATAGCAACAAACATTAAATAATAACACTGACCTGAGGAAGGGCCCTTAATGTGCAAAAGCTTGTCCAGCAGTTGGTCTGATAAAAGACATCACACACAATCTTTGTCTCTTGGACACTTTCTTGGACATAACTCGCAAGAGAAATATAACAGTCATGCCCAAGAGTTTATAAAAGTTGGCTTAAGTGACTGTGATGGTGAAGATCAAGAAGGAGACAGTGGGCACAAGAAAAATGCAGTGATTTATCATCTCTAGACTGCCTATATTGGCATTCCTAGGCAATGTATGTCTCATTTTAATATCTTTTTAATGTAGTTTACCAGGTGTTTGAAAGTGTGGCCAAAAAGTATGATATAATGAATGATTCAATGAGCTTCGGGATTCACCGGCTATGGAAGGATATCTTACTGCATCAAATGAACCCTTACCCAGGAACACAGCTGCTTGATGTTGCTGGAGGGACAGGTAAAGGCCACTTTTGTTTCTGGTATTGTTGTTAAGCAGTGTTATCTGCTGAGTAACAGTTTCATAATAGCCTGTATAAGTTCATCTACATAGGGGAAATGGAAAATGACTAGGATATAAGTAATAAGAAGCAAAATTATATTTGTTATATCAGCAAGAATAGTTTAGAGGAAGTGCTGTCTAGCAGTTAATGGGCCTGAAGTAAAGAATGGTACAGTAAAAGCTGTGTTAACTGGCATTTTACTAACCAAAATACTCTGTTAACTGGAATTTCCAATATCTCCCAATACAAATCCTCACTTTAGCAACTGGAATCTTTGCTGAGTCTATCTAGCACATGCATCAAGTATTTCTGGTGTTTACATTAGTTAGTGATGCTGTTGATAGAGGAGCTGCCGGGAGTCTGTGGAGGAAGGGGCTGGGGGGAGGGGAAAGAGATCTGCTGGGTCAGGGCAGGCTGTCGCTGCAGGCTTTGTGCCAGTATAACTCAGATAACTGTAATTTTTAGATAACCAGTACCCTCCTTACCAGTACCCCCCTCATGCCAGATAACAGAGCTTTTACTGTATTCCCTGATTTGTTGTAGGTTTATTATGATTTTAAGCAAGTCATTTAACTTCTGTTTCCCATTGCAGGAGTGAAGGGAGGGGGATAGAGGCTTCGTTTCATTAATGTCTTGAAGCACTTCTGATTTTTTTGCATATAGAATTACAGTATACAAAAAAATAGAACTTCAGTTTCATCTAATAATTAAGGAAAAAGCAGACTTGTTCTCTTCCCCCCCCACCAACTATCCCCACAATTAGTTCTACTTAAATTTAATATTCAGTCTCAGTTTCCTATTCCATCAAACTTGTAATTTTTACAATATCAGAAACCATTCCATACTGTGCATCTCCCTTTCAAAACAAATACAGGTGACATCGCCTTTCGGTTTATCAATTATGTTCGTTCCCAGCGGGAGTATCAGCTCAGACAGAAACTGAAATCCCATCAGAATTTATCATGGCAAGAAATCTCTAAGAGTTACCAGGAAGAGGCACTTAAACCTCTAGGAGGGTCCCAGGTGGTGATCTGTGATATTAACAAGGAAATGCTGAAGGTTGGAAAGCAGAAAGCACAACATCTTGGCTATACTGAAGGTAAGTCCTGCATTGTGTTGTTTCAATACTGGGTCTTTGACCACAAGACATTTTGAGTAGTAGATGATGTACAAATAATCCTAGTAATCTATTATGTAAAGGTAATAATCGCAAGTTGCATCTTCCATACAAAATTCTACTTGCTTATCTGACTGGGCAAGTAACTTTTCCCTCGACAGTTATGTGATATGGTATCCAGGCAGGTATTGTGAGCCTTTTAAATGTTAAATCATTCAAAAATACAAACTTTGAATTTAATCTGAAGCCTAATGGTTGATTCTCCTTTACCCAGTGAGCTAAACCTTGCTATCTTTTGTGCCAGTGCACCTTCATTAACTTTAATATGAAATATCCTGACAACCAGAATTCATATAACAAACCTATAGTATCTCCCACAGTTAATGAATATATTATAATACTTTGAGAAACTGAATCATATGTAAATGTCAGTTTGCAGGTCATTGGAATAATTCAGTGATTTCTAGACTTTCTCTGGGAAACCACACCAATCCTGATTGGAAAGGCTTAAGAAGAAGACCTAAGAAAATCAAGTTCTTTCATATGACAGTATTTGTCTGATAGCCGTCTGCCATCTGTCTGAGTTTATAGGTATAGCCCTTAAATAAGATATACCAAGTTTAAATACACATGGTAAATCTTATAGGATTCTTCAGTGTAATGTTATAACATAGCTTAATGCCCCTTCTTTATTTCAGAATAAATTATTTTTTTTATCATCAGTAGCTTGTTGGTGTACATATTGTATACAGAAGGGAAAGAACTTACTGTGGGATGTGGGAATGAATGCAACGGAAATAATTAATGCTTCTGAAGTGGAGAAGAAAAATTAGAAACTTTTTTTTCTTTTTAAAAGAATTGCACTAAATTGAGCACTAAGCAGAGTTAGTGTTTCTCTTTTTAAACAGAGAGGGGAAAACGTATCAAGTGTTACACCAGAGCCCTGTACGATGTTTTTTGTTCTGTTGATGTGATAGGAAATGCTTTTAATAATTATGGTTTTTCAACTGGTTGCTAAGATAAGTAGGCTGCTTTCTGGTAGCAGTAATTTGGTCAGCTAGGCTACTGTACGAAATGGAAACTAGGTAAGATTGGCCCTTGACAACTCTGTCCTCTTGTCTCTCACTTTTCATTTCTCAGCCTACTAATTGCTGATCCTCCTCCTAGAACAGAGATGGGTAGAGTCTGGCCTGTAGGCCTGATGTGGCCCACCACAAACTCCATTTCCCAGGAGATCCTGCCCGTGTCACTGTGGCTGGTTTCTATGGAGACCCCAGGAGCTGCAGTGCTGTGACAGCTTGGGGCCAGGGTTTCCAGGGAGACTGGCCCCAGCAGTGCTGGCAGGGTGCATGGCTGAGTGGGGAGCTGCTCTGAGGCTGCAGCTGGGATCTTGCAGTGGTAACAGTGTGGTCCAGAGCTGGGGCTGAGCTGTGATCCACTGCCTGCATGCCCCTGGGTTCCCCATGGAAACCGCAATGCAGAGGGGCTGCTGGGAAATGGAGGCCAGCTGGATCTGCCATTTGGCCCATCCCTGTCCTAGAAGGAGAAGCTCAAAGGTCAGACTGGCTTGTAAGCCCTGGCTCCCCACCTATTTTGTTAGTGTAATACCAGCACTGGAGAGCAAGGAAAAGCTATTGTAAGGAGAGAGGCATTAGCTACTACTTCTAAACCTAGATTACTTGTGTTCAGCTGTTCATGAAAGCCATAAAAGCAGACATCAGCATGCCCCCTCTGAATTGTAAAGAAAAGTAGTTCCTACCAGTATTATTCCTTTCTAGAAAATGAACATAAAACCAAGATTATCTCCCCTTCGTTGTCAGACTCTTTTAGTGATTCTCAAGCAGAGTGCATGGGTGCCCAGGGTGCCCTAAGATTCTTTGAAGGATGGTGTGAGAAATAAGCAGGCAACTGGAGGCTCAGGTTTATCCCTGTCTGACCACTCAATTCACAAAAGTCCAAAAAGGTTGAGAACAATTTGCTGGACTTTTGTCTGAAGGAAAACAGTCATGATGCAGGCGCTTTTGGGGTTGTGGGTTTAAAGTGAAGAGTCCTTCCCCACCGAGGGCCAGAATCACATTATGGTTTTAAAACAACATATATTCAGTCTTTTTGGGAAGGGAAGCGTTCCAAGTCTTCTGGAATGTCACGTGGAGCAGTTCATGTTTGTCCTTATTACTTTTAGGCTTGTCCTGGGTTGTTGGGAATGCTGAGGAGCTCCCCTTCGACGATGACAAGTTTGATGTTTACACAATTGCCTTTGGAATCCGGAATGTAACTCATATTGACCAGGTGATCAAGAGCAGCATGACCTGGGGGGAAAAGAACTTTAAAGTTTTGCTGAGCTTTCTGGGCTCCAGGAAGAACATTTCCTGTGATCAGCTAAAATCTCTCAACCTGTGATACACATACAATTGGGATGTAGCCCTCCAGCTTGCTTGAATGAAAACCAGAGGCTAAATACTGCATTCTTTATAATGGCATCAAAATACTAAAATTGAGATCATGGTAATAAGTATAGTACAGATTATTCAAAGAACTCTGGATATCCTTTACTCTTTTTTTTTTCCTGTAGTCCATAACTTAGCATTATAGTAAATTTATATCACCCATTCTAATCCAAATCTGCTATTTGGCTGATTTATCTATAACTCCATTGCCTGCAAAAATAATTGATCAAGCACTTTGTTTCAGAGACCTGGTCACCTCTTTAAATGCATAATTATCACTTTGTAAGGCTCCCTGGCCTATGGTGCAATTTACTTCTGTTAACTCATTCCTTTACACAACAGAACAAAGTCTTTTTGCTTTACTAAAGTAGCTAGACTTGGTTGTAGTAGGGTTGGAGTGTTGTTGTGGCTACAATGATCAAGGAAATGTCTGAGAGGTTAAGAATTTTTTCGTGATACATGTTATTGGAGCAACTGCATAGTTAGAAGACCTGTTAGACAAGCTTTCAGACATCAAGTGCCTTTTCTCAGGTTTGAGAGTCTGAACTGATAAATGTAAGAAAACCAGTGAAGATGAGCCTTCAGCTGTTGCTTTCAAAGGGCTATATAGATTTGTGTATGCATGTGTGTAAGGGCAGGTGGGTTCTGCACTGGAAAAATTCCACTGCTATCAGCCCTTCTCCAGAAGATGGAAAAATCTCTTTTGTCTAGGCTTCAGATATCCCATCATCCCAAAGTGCTTCTCTTTAACTGAGATCCACTCAGATTAAGTTTGGCTTTGGAATGTTATCACCCATTTAAATTTCCTTCCAGCATGCAGGCTGAAAGCAACTAGCCTCACTTTTTCAAAATGGGAGTTTGCAATCTGAGACAGTAAGGAATAGAATTCATAAACAAAATATTCTATGCCAGTTTGGGGAATCTTCCCACCTCAGGAGACAGATGGTCGTAATTTGGCTGATGTCTTTAAAATAGATGCTAATTAAAAATTAGGTATTGCATTTTATTACTATACTGCACTCACTTGAAAATAATGTGAGCGTCTCCAAAATAACAGAAGTAACAAAAACAATCTTTAGCAGTATTGAGCCTATTGTTAGTCCAAAGGGAGTTGGGACTGTTTGGCTTGATAGGAAAGGGTTTATTAGGCAGGGATGTTGCCTAATAGGTTATACAACTTGCTGCTAATTTTAGACTTCAAGAGGAATGATGTAATCATCCAGGTTCCATTAAACTCCCAGGATTCTCTTCTTATTTTAACCAGCCTAGATTCATTCCTCTGCTTGGATAGCAGGTGGACCATCCAGGAGTCCCACATGACATTGCTAGAACTGATGCTGCCCTAGGAAACGGTGTACTCATTGACTTTTGATCTCTCTCAGGCACTTCAGGAGGCTTACCGTGTGCTGCAACCAGGAGGGAGGTTCCTGTGTCTAGAGTTTAGTCAAGTCAACAACCCTCTTATTTCTAGGTTAGAATATTTTTTCATTCTATTTTTATCCTTCACAAAGTTTTATTGAGGGGCTGCCCCAATACTGCATATGTATGACATGAAAGTAGATCCCTAAATCCATTTTTATCACCTGCTTAACTCTCACGTCAGTCTAGAGCAAAAGGATATAAAATGACCAAGTATATTTTGGAGAAAACAAAACCCCTCCCAAAATTAAGTTCTCTGTTGGTTTGCATTTTTTTTTTTTCTTGGCAGGCTCTATGATCTATACAGCTTTCAGGTTATCCCAGTTCTGGGTGAGATTATTGCTGGAGACTGGAAGTCTTACCAATACCTCGTAGAGAGCATCCGACAGTTTCCAGCTCAAGTAAGAAAATGGCTTTTTTGGGTACATCCCCATAAGCTGGAATGTGTGTTCCCTGGGGACAACTAGCAGTGGCACATATTTGTGCTACTGCTGGTTGTCCCTGGGGAATGCCCCTGCATGCACACTCTGGCACATGGTACATTGCCCTGGGTGGGGTTGGGGAGGCTGGGGCCAGTACCTGGCCTAGCCTTAGCAGCATTATGTGGAGTCCGGGGCAGGGGGGGCCTCCAGCAGCAGTGATCTGGTTGCGCAGAGCCTGGCCGGCAGCCAGGGCATGGCTCTGGCTGGCCAGGCCCTGGTTTCAGACAGCATACAGTGCTGTCATGTGCACTGCTCCACTTCTGCCACGGTTTTCTTTTTTTTTGTTTTTTGACACTGGGATCTCCGTGTCAAAAAGCCTCCACTGTGCTGCTAATTTGCAGCACAGCAAACGTGTAATGTGCAGTTTGTGGTGCCACAGATGGGTTTACAGTGCCACAAACCATACATACAGAACTGCCCTTTGGGTCTGATGTACAAAATACATCCTTGGTATTGTCTTGGGGACAACTATCTTAAAGTGGCCCTCTAAATAATAACAGAAGTAAGATTATCTAACTGCACAATTACTATATTTCAGGAGGAATTCAAGACAATGATTGAAGATGCAGGTTTTTTGAAAGTAGAATATCGAAATCTAACTGCTGGCATTGTTGCCGTTCACTCGGGTTTCAAACTGTGATATTTACTTCACAATGTACTTTGAACAGTTAATGATAGTTTTCTGTGAAGAACCTGAAAGCTGTGGGACAACTTTACCATCAAGATTGCAGAATAGACTGATGGAAGAATTTGAGCCATCTCCAGAACCTAAACACCAGATAAACTGAAAAATAGTAGTCTTGAATCAATTTGGGACCTGGTTTCTTTCTGCCTGTTAAGCACGGAGCACAGTTAAGTAACTCTGGATCAGAAGACTCCTGAATGCATGGTATCTGAGCATATTCCATCTTTTTTCCCCCAAAGACCTCAAAGATGAAGCTATCCTTGTAGCCACTTTTTTGGTACTTAAATACAGTGTGAGGACATAACAAAATTCAATTAAGGTTTCAAGTCTGACATGTTTCAAACAGTTCAATTACTAAAAGTTTATTTAAAATTGGATATGGACTTTAACCTTCAGCTGAGGTTCTTCTCTACAGATCTTAGCACAGGTGTGAAAGCTACTGTCATGTCATCTGAAATGATAGCAGCATGTGTGAAAAATGTTGGTTTCTTTTTTTTTTTTTATGTATTTAAGAGTAAACTTCACTTCTTATCAGAGCTTTTCATTTTCTTATAGTATCTTTTACCTATATAGGTACAGACACTTAAGTGCTTCTATGCAAGTTATTCTAAGCAGCACATTTTCCTAACAGAAAAGGCTTGAAAAGTCAATTCACTTCAGCATGGTGATGAGGGAGAATTGCTATTGTACAGTACTGTTTAAGTCATAGCTGTAGATGTACAATATACCTTAAAAGCTTGAGTTTGACCTCCTTTAAACTGTAAACATATACATGGTAGTATACGATTTTCCTTATATTAGGATGGAAAAAAAAAATCATGGAAACCAAATTTATTTCATAAAAATATTATCTCATTACTTTCCTATACTGATGATGGCTGCAGGTTTGTGCTCTAGTAGTTTTACAGAAGTTGAAAGTGAACGTACTTCAATTCCATTCTTAACCTTTAAGATGACTAACGTTGTTTCATTAGTTCCTGTGAAAGGCAGCAGCATACTGATTATATTCTTATTTTTTGTAAATAGCATAAAATACCTATTTAATCTGCAACAGTTGAGCTAGTAGGCTTAATGCTGAGTACAAAGTTATTTTTGTAAGCTTCTGTCACTTTGTCAAAGAAAGCTTATAACAATTAGAAGTACAGAACTTGGTTCTGTAAAACCAGTATCAATGTACTTTATTTAAGTAGTCTTCACTGATTATGTACTACTTGGTCTGCTGCAGCTACTGTCAGGGCTCTTAGAATGATAAGCCTTTAACTTCTCTCATTTAAGAAATCGATGTAGTCAATAACTTGTAGGTATACAGCAGAGATCCCTGTATTCTAGGTAGGATTTAGAATATTATATCAGCAGAGAATGTTAAGTTCCATGAAAGAAACAGTTCATCTAGAAACAATGAAACTAGTTAGCTATTATTTCTTTGCTCAAAGCTAGGAACTGATGGGTACTAGAAAAAAAAGCAGTACTAACTAGCATGAGCAGGGCTAAATTCACTGAAACTAGAGCTGCACTTATTTATGCTTTCTCCCACCTAGCCTGAGCGCAAACTTTGAATTGTTAAAGTGAGGCTTGCTTCACAAAGTACCTCACTTGTTTCTCAAGTGAGTATTATTGCAAAAGATGATAAAGGAATAAGAGGGCTAGATGGCTGTAAAATTATTGGAATAAACTCAACTGAATGAACTCCACCTTTTTACTAGAAAAAAACAAAACAGGCTTTTGAAAGCAAATAAAATACAAGGAAGACATTTTTGGCTTTTTTTGTTGTTTTTATAGTGGCAATGAAAACACAAACTGGTACAGCAACATCCCTGTCCATTAACAATACAAGAGGCTTGATCAAAGTGTGTTCCCTGGGGAAGGCTGAAGATTTCAGTCTCTATTTGGAATTAGCATGCAGTCCTTAACTGGATGCAAGCTTGGGTAGTACAGTCCATGTCTAACCAGATTTGAAGAGGAGAATAGCAACTTGGCCCAGGTAGAAGTAGATGAAGTGTTTAGTTTCATGAGTCACATAGCTGCCGAAGTTTCTTCCCACAATACAGTGCCAAGTGGGGTTGTATTTCTTGTCAAACTCCTGAAAAAGACAGTCACTTGCAGTTTAGTATCAGAAGAATGAGCTGCTTAACTTGTCTGCCTACAGACTTCTGGATTTGCCAAGGATCTTTTTCTTTGGCAAAATGTGCATTTGTATTAATTTAAAATTTGGTCATGTTCTAAATTGAGGGAATTAAAAAAATAAAAATAAAACGGTGCATACTTTTTCTGCTCTTGTAGGACTCGTGTAAACTACATTTTCTGTCCCCCTTGCCATAAGTTAGAAAGGTACTGTTTTAAGAGGTAACGCTGTAAGAGGGGAGGCAAAAAATTACCATCCACCAAAGCTACCTTTTCACTCATAATCAGATCCTTAGCTGGGTGCTTCTGACTTTTGTGGTTTCTGAATTAGTATATAAAAATCCTTGCTATTCCTCTGGAAAACCAAGATGCTAAAAGCTACAAAGCAGAGGGTTTAACTGTGGAGGAGAGTCTGCTAGATCACTAATTGATATACAGAATAACACTTATCTGCAGTGGAAGCATAGGTGTGTCTTACTGAGTTATTTTGTAAACACAGTCAAGTATTAGTAAAGTCTCACTCATTCCAATTAAAAGCAAAGTCTCTCATGTCACTTAATAGTCCAAATTTGTATACAAACTGGATGCTTCATGTATTTTGGCTGGCAAAACCTAAAAAGCTTGATGGCAAACTTGCCCCAAGCATGGCTCTTCCATTGCAAGTGTGTTATATTAGTGCACCTCTAATCCAGTGCAACCAATATCCGTCCATATCATAATCAGCACCAATAAGAGGAAAACTAACAATCAGCAAATCGGCTTTTTTTGGCTGATGTGGCTAATAATGTCACCGATAGAAGCTGCATGCGTGTGTGCAGCTGCACTGTGCATGTGGAATACAGCCTGGCAAGCCGTGTCTAGCTCTCAGCAGGCAGCCCACCCATGCACAAATCCTGGGGGCACACACCCCACATGCCTTCCCCAGGGGAGTGTACACATCAGGGAGCCACCCCCACCAGATGAGCCACATGCAGTTCCATTTCCTGGCTGGGCAGTACCTGCCCTTGTCTTAGCCCTCCTCCCCCTCACTTTGGGGGGCCTCAATCTACCTCCCTCACACACACTTACTGACCAGACACAGCTCTCCAAGCTGCATAATCGGCAATCAATTTGGTATTAGCCAATATGGCTGGTTAAGTCGGCCATAAGTATTGGTCAAAAAAGTCTTTATCAGTGCAACCCTACACTGGATTATTACAAAACCTTTTGGCTGTTGCTTTTAAACTTTTGCAAATAAAGAAGACAGGGGTGGCCACTCTGTGCCATGGGTGTCACAAGAGGCACAGGCAGTCTGTGTGGCCCACAGGCAGCACAGCATCAGATGAAGTGGGAAGCAGGGGAAAAAAAAAGAAGCAGCCTTAGGAAACAGCAGCCATTTGGTCAACAAAAGCAGACCAAAGTGGGACTTGGAGAGGGTGTAGGGTCAATTTGTGGCATGCCTACCAAAAAGCCTGTCCCCGCACTGATTCAAGACAACCCTCTACCCATGTACATAGATGACTACAATTTTCTCTTCAGAGGAGAGAAAAAAAAAAAAAAAAACAAAAAAACAAACACCCAAAAATATAGTTTTGTAGACGCTTACTTTGTAGTAAGCCAAACTGGTAACATTCCTAGTGTATAGAGGAGAAAACTTAATGTAGAAATGAGTGTAGGTTTTCTAAAAGGGTTTTGCCATTCCTTTTAGAATAGCAAGGAATAGGAACTACTAAAAATAGTTTCATTTTAAGGAGGTTGTTTACCCCATGTTGGTTGTCATGTTAATGACTGCTTTGAGTGGTCTCACTATTCTAGCAGACCAGCTTCTCTCACTGCCACCTCAGATTGATGGTCTCAAAAGCCTCTACAAACTGTAGTTGCTAAGCTATGAAGAAGAGCAGAAGGTGAAAAATTTACCAAACCCAGAAACAGTTGCTAGGCACTGTACAGCTCTTGGCTGAAAACTGATAAAAATAAATCTCTTCATAGGAACAGCTTTAGAAGAGTTGAGCTGTAAAGACTTCAGCCCCAGCCCCTCCTTACCAGGGTTCTCACACTAGATCAGAGATCAGCAATGTTTTGGGGCCAAGTACCAAAAACATATGCAACCTCTTTTTTTAAGAAGTGTTGGCTGGCCAGAGGCAGACGGCAGGAAACCTGAGGTGCCAGACTCTTGTGGCAGTCCCTGCCCCTTCCCCAACATCTGCCCCAAGGCACACGTGCCAAGAAAATGCCTTTGCATGCCATGGTCTGGTGCCTGTGCCACTGGTTACCTACCCTTGCACTAATCCAGCATTTCTCAACCCATAGATCACAACCCAAAAGTGGGTCACAAGAATGTAGGAAAGGGTCACAAGCAAACTTTAAAAATCAATTCTCCCTTAAAGGAGAAAAACATGGGGAACTGGCTTTTTTCCCTTGTGGGCTGGCAGAGTTCCAGCTGGCGAGGGGCTGCTTGGGGCTCCCCTTACCCCTGCCCCACACACTGGGGGCTGGTGTCTGGGGACAGCAGGTCAGGAGTGAGGGGCACTGGGTCTGGACTGGCCACTGATGTTTACAAATGGGTCCTGGTACAAAAGAGATTGAGACCTGCTACACTAGATGATCTTCAAGCATTCACCCAAGGCAGAAGAGGGAGAAAAATGCATTCAGACAAGCCATTTACCTTCTTTATATGAGCTGCAATGTCCTTCTCGATATTGTACTTCTCCAGGGCCTGCGTGGCGCACTCCACAGAGTCCTGCTGCATCTCTTCGGACATGTCCGCATTCTTGATCACAGCCTTTCGATCACACATGGTTACCTGGGCGTACGTGGGGCGAGGAGTTAGGAGGCGGGGAGCGCGGACCTTCACACCTCGGTGGGGCCCTCCAAGCTCAGAGCCCGGGAGCCCCCGTTCCGCCTCGCCTGCCACGTCCCCCCACCCGAGGGCGGGCAGCATCTCCGCAGCCGGGACTAAGGGGCAAGGCGCACTGGGGAGCCGCCCCCCACCCCCCAGGTTTGCTCGCGGCCCGCGCCGATGAGGCTCAGCGCGGCACCAGCCCGGCACAAGCAAGGCGCGGCGGCCGCAGTGGGACACCAGGGCGCCCG